GTTAGAGCGCGAATTTACTGACCGGAAGGTCCGTGGTTCGAACCCGACCTCCGCCTCTCGACTTCCCCTGTCTAGGCTTGGGCAACCTGGCAGTATCCCAGCCCTCGTGCTTCCTTCGGGTGACATTGCAGTTAGGCACCGGAAGGGTGCTACGGCTGAATGGTGAGATGAGCCTACGCTGAGCCAGTTTGTGCTTCTGTCAGTGCCGCGGGTCATCCTGAACATCCTTTGACAGAGTCTTAACAGGATACAGCCAGTAACAAAAAGCTATGAAAGCTGCTTCTTTTGTATGGTTCTTAAGTGGGAAGTTTGTACGTTTGGGTTTCTTTTGATGCGATGTGTCACTCGGAAGGCAGACCAGTATAAGCTATGATGTGAGATTACTGGCATACCAGGAAACCAACTATTCACCACGCCCGAGGAAACCGCTGTTGATGTTGAGGAGTGGGGGAAATAAGCACAACGCTTGTATTTCTGACCCAGGTGGCGCTGACGCTGCATGTACCGGCTGGTGTCATTCTTCTTTAGGTTCCTGACATTTGTGCCACTGATTGAGTTGCTTTGCAGGTGTATGAAATTTTGTATTGCCACGTATGGCGAGTGGGAGTGTGTTTTTGTCTATCTCAGATTCTATTGTTGGTATTTTAGGACAAACGAGTACGCCGCTCTGATGACTTTGGCTCCTGATGGTTCTGCCGCCACCAACACAGCCATCCCCGTTTCCAAAGTCGACTACCCTCAGCCGGCGACGGTTTCTCAAAAACCTACGACCCGACTAATACCTGGCCTGGCTTCATCGTTTGGAGATCAACAACCGACGTTTACCGCCCCACCGACTGGATCGTTTCCTCCGTCTTTTCCCAACCTCGCCACCTTGAAACATTGCAACGAGGTCCAGGATACGGGTCAGGCACCTTGGCAAGCACTACTAATCAGCTGGTTCATGTGCGGCTATCATACTGGCTATTTTGAGGTATGAACCAGTGGTTGAGCCTTTCGAAGCGCATGTGCCTTTTCACCTTAGAAAAACTAGACCAATGAGATATTCTCAAAGCCAAGTAGTATACTTACTCATCCCTTTTTAACTCTCTAATCTGATACCAGAGGCGGATGAGTCGACCTTGTGGATTTTAGAGGAGCAGCCATCCAGATGTTGGGAAAATACGGCTGCCGGGGGGTGAACAGCCTCGATTTCCAACTTTTTGAGTGTTTTAACAAAGGCTCCGTGTCATGTGACACTAGTTCAGAGGTCAGTGAGCACAGTTCATGCGAATGCAGAACAGTAATATCAATAATGAATTAAAAAGTAAACAATCCGAGGGTAGTAAGACTTATGGATAGTGAGTTGGATGATGAACAGATTGCTGAAAAATTCCTTTTTATGGCAAAACATCGTACAATGAATGAGACTACTTGAAGGTTTTACCATTGAGCATACATCCGACAATGTACATCAAGTGACAACTTAGGAAATACAGTCAAACGCATTGTGGGGGGGGGGAATCGTTCACTTCTCAGAGTCAAACAACAGGGATCCCCTGTGGTAATGGGAAAATGGGACTAAAACAGCCCACTCACTTCCGTGGTCAGACTTTTGGCCGCTCAATCCATAGACTGCTTTTGGAATGGTTGCCACTACTGTTGGGGTAGTCCATACCCCGCTCAATACTTCCTCGCACGAGGGCACCCTCCGAAGTGAGGCCGCCTCACTGAGGAGTTCGTCATAACACACGTTGTCCCTACCTCCTAGAAGGAGGTAGTGGTCAGCCTTATTGGGATTACTATATCATGAACCGTGTCCTGTGATAATCTTTGTTCAGAGGGACCTTTGGACCCAATCTCATCACTGTGGGATGACTATGAAGCAAGCTCATTCGTGGGAAGGGCTTTCGAATTTTATATTATGTGGGAATGGTTCTTCCACCCTATTTTCTCTGTCCAGCTGACCGGCGTACCGCTGTATGGTTGTCATTAAGTGTGCATGCCTGCGTGAAAAAAGCGGTGGTGTTTTCAGCGTTACCATGAGGTCTTTCAGTTGTGGCACCCTTTCGGTGCTTAACTGCCATGCCTCCCGGCGGAAGCACGAGGCCTGGGATACTGCCAGGTTGCCCAAGCCTAGGCAGCGTTACAAGTGCGGTGTCAAGTACCGACTGGCTGTTCACCTCTTAACCAACGTAGTGTGTGTGTGTGTGTATCTCTCGAGTGACCTGTGTGCAGACCCTCCGAGAGTTAGTGGCTTATTTCCGAAGACCCTTTTATGGGATTCGCTACAAGCCACGGGAGCGTTTTTGTTTATATGCATCCTCATGGTTTTGCCTGTAACCGCTCAGTTTTGTTCGACGTTGTTCTGTTTCCCATCTTATCCCCACACCACTCATTCTCTCTTCTGTTTCAGGCACTTCAATCAGCAGCAAAACGCTGAATCTGCACTCTTCGGTTTGAGATCCTCACCCCTCCTTTATTTTCACGCGTTTATGCCGTCACCCGTATGTCTCCACCTGCTTTCCAGTCTGAGTACTGTGCCGAATTCAAACTCGATTGTTTTGCTTCACTGCCCAATCGATTTATGTACGATATGAAAATTGCCTTTCTACCTTTTTTGAGCCATTGGATGGTGTGCTTCTCTTCGAGAACTACTAGCTCGTTTCGGGTGGTCGAAAACCCTCATTCACTGTTTAGGGGTAGCTCAGTAACCGATCCCAGATCCCCACAGCAATCCGCCGAAGTACTCACCATGTTCATTTCTTATCATCATCATCGACAGCATGACATCAGTGTTCAACACCGATGCTTCGCTACCGTACAACCATGATTTATTTGAATGCCTTATTGTGAAGAGAAGAATGAAAGTGGACAGGGAAGGGACTTAACGTTAGCCTAGTTCAATCATTCCGAGGTGCCTACACCTCCAGACACTCATTCAGGTAAGCTGGATAGAAACTAACAACAAGAACGCCAATGACATCAGTTGGCAGCCATATCTTGCAGTGTCTCAAACCAGACGCAGTGAGGATCACGTGCTCCCCGTCCTGGAAGGTGGGTAGCACTGACAGCACCCAAACCTTTTTCATCACTAGGTATTCAATCCTTACTACTTGTTGAAATTCATTCATTTCCAATTGCAGGGCAAACTTTTGAATTCAGTAAAACAGGTTCCCGCAACACATTCCAACATATAATTTTAATGAGCCGGAAAATTTTCTCTCATAAGGTACTACTCACCATGCAAGACACAGTTTAGGACTCCGTGTGAAATATCTCAACTAGATATGAAGTGTAGACGTAATACACTACAGGTGGCTGAAGACTGTTCGACCGATCGCAACCAGTTTCGCCTTTCTTTTGGCTAATCAGGTGGGCTAAGTTTCTAAGTTTCCGTCAACCTCGTGTTCTACTTGAACACGAATCGAACAAAGTTCGACTCAGATATTCATCTGGGTTCCAGGTGAGTGAGTTACATGTGTCTTGCGTGGTGAGTAGTACCTTATGAGAGAAATGTTTCCGATTCATTATAATTGTCTTTTGCGGGAGACTGTTTTACTGAATTCAAAAGTTTTCCCCGCACTTGGAAATGAATGCATTTCAACAGGTGATGAGGATTGACTGGTAAAATCCATCAAAAGGAATCGTTTGACTTTCGCTACGGAGATTGGCTGTGGGGGGTTTTTCACTTGAATCTCGTAACGTCCATATTGGTAGGTGTCGTATCCGGCTGTCAGGACACAATAATGGGTGTATGAGCTGAAAGTCTATTCCTCCCAGTCGCTCGTAATGCGTACGTGTATCAGCTGAGCGCACTCAACCTTGTAACGGTTGGTGAGAAAGGACTGGCACTTTCCAGATGGAACGCGCTACTTGTAAATTTGTTAGAAACTTTTCGATAGCCCTTGCTGCTCGTCAGGTACACGCATTTCCTGTGTGCTCCACCTGAGCACCATATACGCAATTGCAAACCACGCTCATCTTAATGTGAAACTCAAAGAAATAACAGCTAAATAGCTTTCGTAAAGGGAACTATTCACAAGGTTGCTGAAAACTCTTCGACAGCCCACGACAGATTTCGCCCTTCTTGGGGCTCATCAGGTGGACGCATTCCCCGAGTTTTCGTCAACTGTATGTTCTGCTTGAACCCAAATTGGACTGTTTTTGAGAAATACACTCATTTGCAAATCAATTTGGCTTTCACGAGAGACTCAACGGAATATCATAAACAAGAGATTCAGTTGAGTCTTTCGTGAAAACCAAAGCTAAATAGCTTGTTTGCTGCACAAAGAGCGTGCCATGTTTCAGTCGGTACAGTAGTCGGGATGTCGCAGTAAATAGTGATAAAAACAAGCACTGAGCTGTAACAATCCGTGGGTGCATGGCTGCTATGCTACCTGAAGGGAGCGCAGGTGCTGAGATACCGTCATGTCGCCCAAACAGGTGCAGTCGAGTTCGGGTTCGAATCGCGAAGCTTCCGGTCAGTAAGCTCACATCTTGACCACTGGTCTGTCTCGGACAGCATATTCTTTGGCAGAGCACTATATTCAAAAGGTTCCCGAGCACTGTCCCTCAGCCCACGACGGATTTCGCCCTTATTGGGGCTGCCTTCAGCTGAAGAATATGATAAAAGGAAGATTTAGCTGGTCGGCGTTTAGTTGTCCTAGCATCGGGTGCGTGAGCTATTAACGGTTTTCGCACACTGCCTCGGGAGGCGAAACGTGCATTGTTCATGGTTCATTCACTCGCTGGTGTTATAATAGCCCCTCCCGCGTTTCTCAATGCAAGGGCAAGTGGTACGGGTGGTGGACCGCTGACCTGCTCACCAATAAGCAGAGAACCAGTGATTTAGATTTGACCAGTGGAGATTTTCTCTTCGTAAATGGACTTAGCTGTTTAAGATTCATTCTGGTTTGGTAATTTTCAATGGAGGTCTCATCTTGTGAGTGAAACCAATCTATGTTGAGGAACACTGTAGGACTGTTTCCTCCTTATTGGGAATCATCACTGCGCATCTCGTGAAACTGGGAGGGTTTCAAACCCGAAACCTCCCAGCTATTGGTTGAACGCCCAACCGTTCGATCAGTAGTGTGATTACCTCTCACTTAGACGGGACACAGCGCCACTCATCCTTCAATCACGGGAACCACGTCACATGGCCATGTATTGATTGGTTCCTCGGTTGAGGACTTCTCAGAAGGAACTTTCGTTCATCTTGTCAGGTTATTTCTCCTCTGGTTTTGAGGGGATGCGGCAATTTTCAATAGAGGTTTCATGCCGTCAGATTCATCAAATTCGTAATGATTGGTGAGAACAGAAGAGTTGAAGAGTTTTCGTTCCCTTCAGCATCTACTGAACACAAGCTACCTCTTGATTACCCTGGTTTGGAGCTCAAGATATCAAAGTATTTTCCAAATTCGCATAAGTTCGATGTTAGCCGATATCGCGGGTGATGTGTACAACCTGATTCCATAGAGGAAACCCTAGGTAATCGTTCATCGCCACACCGCGACCACCTACCATGACGTCTTAGAGCTAATAAGCAGTTGTTTCAGCATATGATGGTGCTTAACTGTCGTAAAACTGTGAGGAGAGACTATCTTTGTAAGGAGAAGTGGAGTTAAAGCTTAGTGATCGATGAGCAAGAACAGCGGCCCGCACCGTTGAAGGAAACCTATATAGGCGTTGTATCATAGTCAGGTGCCATGGGCGAGGTAGATTTGACAAACTTTCGAAAGTTTACTTGGCTCACCGCAGTACGACAGACCTTGGCTTTCCGATTGGGAACCGACAGTTTGCTCACTACCGTATCATGTAATGTCTCTAACCACGTGCAGTAAGACTCACCTAGGCCCCAGACAGGATGCTGGATAAACTGTACGTCCTTCCAGCCTACTGTAATGGCTTACGCTTTGTTAGGCACCAGTGAATAGAATATGATGAGTCAAACTAGGTGCCAGTGATACCTGTTCTGTCGCTATGCGGATAAAGTCGAATTAGAACACAACTCCTGAAGAACTGAATAGAGTCTGTGTCGGAAAGTATCAACCTTGGAACTACCTAGACCTGAGACTTACGCTGATTTTTGGGTTGCATCTACTTTCGGGACTAATTTTTGGGGCTGAGGATAAATTTGGATATGAACGGAGATTTCTAAAAGAATCTTTGGAAATTAAACTAAAACAAGCAATAAACCCTAAATGTGTATCAACAGACAAGCTTAATCTCATGGCTAATCCGGCTGTCTCATGGTCTGAGCAGACAACTGAATAAATGCTTTTCGCTTTCTCTGATTGGTTGAGAGAATCGATCGATCATGTTTTAAATGACTGAGTGCACCCACAACCAGCGTTAGTACTGTTCAAGATGACCGCCCCTCCAACACGTGCAAATGTAATGAAGGAGGCAATCACAGTTGTTTGTCGAATACGGCCACTGAATCAAACGGAACGAATGAAGAGCAGCGCAACTTGCGTCACGTTCCCATCACACAATTCGGTCGCTGTTGGGGTAAGCTTGGTATCACGTGATGTCAACCACTTTGTTCGGGTAACTGTTAGCACAGAATTGTCTCTGTTCGATAACAAGAGATAAAGGGATATTTAGCTCTGTAGTAAAGCTCAGAGAACCACATTCCATGCTAACCCATGTTCACATTCGTCTTGGTACCGTTTGGAAAGTTTGTTCCAGCACATGACTACTCACTGTTGGATAATAGTACTCGGTTTGGCTTGTTTTATCCAAATAGAAACTCACGAGTCGAATAACTTTGTGTACTGTTTCGTCGCCTTCGACTAATTGCCGTTTTTCATAACCCCAATCCAGGGAACATATATACATACATACATATATATGTATATGATGGGTGTCTCATACTAGACGCAAAAAATAATACCCATGTTAAAACTTCGACATTAATTCAAACATTTATCTTTTTTATATGGACATACAAGTATCATGGAGGTTTACTGTGAACAAACTGGCATTACAAAAGATGCTGAAAGAAACCGCCCGTTTCTTCTATAACAAGTTGGAGGCGGTATGAGATGTGAGACACAGCATGTTTAACTTCTTCAAGCCTCACTCATGCACACTCCTCTTCAATTCTTGCTCTTAACTCCACCAAATTCTTTGGTTTATTTTCATGATATACGCGAGCTTTGACCATTCCCAAAACCAATAATTCAGAGGTGCGAGATCGGGCGACCTTGCGGACCAAAAGTGTGGAAATCCACGAGCCATGACTCTCTCATCAGAAAATTGCTCTCGGAGGTAAGTTCTCACTTGGTTTGAGTAGTGGGATGGAGCGCCATCTTGTTGAAAGACGGTCGATGAATTCTTGTGCTGCTTGAGTTGCGGGATAACATGCGTCTGCAGCATATGGAGGTAACTGTCGCCGGAAACCGTAGCATCAAAGAAAAAGGGACGCAGGNCACGCAATTGTGCTTGTTGATTATGCCATCCACAGAAAAATTTTCTTCGCTCCATAAAATGTTGAGAACGATTTCTTCATTGTCCAGAAGCCAGTTAGCGAACGTGACACGTTGCTTCTTGTTTTCTTCCGTGATGTTTTGTAATAAAGTGAACTGATACGGGTAGAGATGAAGGTGGCGTCTCGTA